CTGGAATATTTTAGGTTTAGATTCTCTATTTTAAGGCATTGTTTGATGGAAAATGTCACTTTGACTCTTTGTCCGAAAATGTTTGATACCCGGGGTGATTGACTCTCACAAAGTGCACAGGTTCCACGTAAATTAAATAATTCTCGATCCTCGAGGTGCGTGTGTTCGATCATTTTCTATGTCAATCATTATGTTTCTCTAACTAGATCCTTGTTTGATCCCCATTTTATGTAAAAAAATAAATTTTTTTAATGGTGATTGTTTGAAAAATGTGTAGATAGAAAATAGAGAAAAATTTTAAAATTACGTATAAATTATTTTATTAGAATAATATGTAAATGAAAATGAATTTTTAAAAAATATAGTTCAAATAAGGACTAAGTGTCCAACCACCTCTCCCACACGCTTTTATTCTTTTCACACTTGAAAAGACATTTTGTCATATCTCGTCATCTAACACGAATTTTTTAGGACTAACATATTCACACTATTTTTAATTATACAAAAGCTTTATAACTTTTATTTATTATTACATTTATGTGTAAATAAATTATTTTTTATTATGATTTCTCTTCAAAATTTTCTTTTAGATAAAGTAATAAAAAGACTAATTTATACATTATATTTTTAAATAAGCAAAACAAATAATAATGCAAAAATATGATTAAATATTTGGCCTTCCATTTTAAAGCATATTAACAATATTTTCGATGAAAAAAATATAATTAAGGACAAGATTGTTTTATTAATAAAATGTTAAAAATAAAAACGTGATGAAAAAAATTATGAACATAAGTATGATAGTAAATAAATGTTAATGACCTTAATGTAATAAAAAAATGCAGTGTATAACCACCCTTTTATTATTTCTCTTACCGAAATTAGTTCTACTATAGTTACAATTATCTGGGCAGTTTTGTTGACATTGTGTGACATGACACACTTTTTGTCATTGATTTTAACAATATTTAAAATAATTAGTGATCTCGATTTTGACACATCAAACAATCTCGAGGATGATGTACATTTTTAATGTACAAATAACTTAATTCTACCCAAATACACCTAAATCTTTCTTTAATTATTGTCAAATACCATTTTAAAAATTGTGGTGTACAGTTGGTTTGGCATCTTTTGAAGAATTTGACATCTCGTTTGATTCTCATTTTTCTCTAAATGCATTTCTTTCTCTCTTTTTTTAATCACATATTTTTCATTAAAATAATATTACACGTAAATAAAATACTTTTTCTTATTTTTTATTCACATATTCTTTATCAATTTACTATTTAAAATTCATTTTTCATTAAAAATGAATGTCAAACCCCCCACTCTAAATAAATATTGTTAAAATTAGTGAAAAAAATTGTCAAAGAATATACGAGGTAAGTGTAGCAATACCGTCCATTTTACCTTTCATTTTTCCTTAAATAACTTGTCATGGCCACCATTGTTCCTCGAAATATCTGGGGCTGAAATTTTCCTTCAAAGTAATTATCACAGTGTCAATTCGGTCAAGTTCAAATTATTACCTAACACTAAAACCCCCACTGCACGAAGCAGGAAAACTCATCCGATCTACCGCCCGGCGAATACTACTGCAGCCAATCAAAGCCTCACACATGGCTGCCCAAATTGGTGATTCTACCGCTGATCGCATTTCTCGGATTTCCTCTTCCATCCGGGTCATACCCGACTTCCCCAAACCCGGTAAAACCTCCTGAAGTGAATTCCATATATAAGAAGAATTCACGTGGAGGAAAATATCATTTTACTATTTGTTTTAATGTGGGGTTATGGGCAGGAATTATGTTTCAGGATATAACGACTTTGCTTCTTGATCCCAAGGCATTTAAGTACACGATCGATTTGTTTGTTGAGAGATACACGGGCCAAAATATTAGTGTTGTTGCAGGTGATTGGTTGTCTTTCTCGATCTATTTTTTTTATTTTTTGTGTTTTTTTTTTTTAAATTGAAAAAAACTGCTCGTGTTACTTGTTAATTTTGTTCTCTTTCCAGGTTCATATTCGTATATTCTGTTGAATGTAGGATATTGAACAATGTGGTGCTGTTTTTAAAGCTTTTACTGTTTCCCATAACTAAAGTTTATTGGATTTTAATTATTTAATATTTTGAAATTGATCATTTAATATTAAGTTGAAAAAGAGGTTTTTACTTCACAGCTATTAGAATTAGATTTTGAAGTGTCATAACTCATAATGTAAGCTGAATGCTTGGTTATAGGAACATTCTACCTTCAACAAATCATAATTGAAAATCAGCAGCTGGACCAGATTCTACGGCCATAATATTTAGAAATTTTGGTTGATGATTATTTGAATAATCTGTGCTGACTAAATTATTTAATATGTAACAAAAGCTATACTTTAGCCAAAATAATCGATGCCAAATGAGAAGTTTGGTAGACTAATTATGCATTGGTTTATTAAAATTTATGAATGGCGAAACCAGTTGCAATTTTATAATCTGTGTGATACTTATTGAAATGGTACAGGCGTCGAGGCTAGAGGTTTTATATTTGGACCTCCAATTGCGTTGGCTATCGGGGCCAAATTTGTTCCCATGAGAAAGCCTAAGAAGTTACCTGGTATAGCTCTCTGTTCCTATCTTTGTTTGTTTTGTCCATTTTTATAGTCACTGTTGTACACACAGTATGTTTTGAATTTTCATGATGTGTTCTTTTGTCAAAAATATACGATGCATGTTCTATCAGCATGAAAAGAGATAAAATTAAATAAATAAATTTGCAAGAACACATGCCCTCATGCCTTGTTTATGCTACATTAGTTTATTTTATTTTATTTTTTAAATCTATTATTAGAAGTTTGACATGCATGATGTTGGAAAATCAAAAGCTTTATAGCTTTTGACATGTCAGAGATTTTTCTTTTGTAGCTGAGTAACAATATTTATAAATTTGAATATTAAGTTGGCCTTTTTTTCCCCATATTAAAATGACTACAATTATAATCTAACCTTATTCCTGATAAATTTGGAGTCGGCTATATGAATAATTTTTCTCCACTCCATTTTGTATGATCTTACATAAAATAACTAATTATAGCCTTACCCAATTCAAATTTAATATGTGGTTATTAGATGCATTGTTATTAGATCCTGATTGGAAAACTCGTGAATCGGATCCAGATCGATGAATAGTTTCACTTAAACCTGCTGCAGTTTTCAAACTTACAGAATAGTTTAGTTGGTTTGATCCAAGGCCTCTTGAAAATTATGTGCAGCAACCTCCCACTAGACTATAGTCCATACATTGTTTAAATTTGCCACTACTAAAATAAATCAATAAATTAGGCTTCAAGTACTACCTAAATTAACTGCAGTAACAAAGAAAAAAAGTCAAGTTTTTGTTATCCGGTGTAGCATTTTATGTAAAATTTTGATATTTGATTTTTAAGCACAAAGAGGAAATATTTTGGTACTTCTTTATTATCAAATAAATAATAATTACCTTACGATTTTTCTATACAAAGAAAAACGAATTTAATATAAATAAACATTTGAAAACTGAAGATAGCTTGTGTGTTCTAAGTAGTTTATAGGTACAGATTTATGTAAATAGACAAGATTACTTTGTGAATAAAAATAAAAAAGATTTCTTACCTTCTATCGGGACCATTTATTACTATAAATAATATGTTTTAATATCAAAATAGAAATCAATTATATACCCCTTCTTCTGGAGGAAAAAAAAAATATGTTACATGCAAAAAGGAAAATTATGATCCTAAAATTGGAAGGTAGAATATTTATTTTATTGATCAAAATGAATCATTTTAAACTTACCATTTCCCCCCTGAAAATAACAAATTATACATACGAATCAAAGAACTTAAATAATAATTTATGAAAATCTTTGAAAATAATCAAGACATCAGTTCCTGCTTGATTTGTGACTCACTGGTTGAACCAGTGATAACTTAGCCGGTTCAAACCAGATGAAAAGTGTGATAAAATATTGTAGGTGAGAGGTGGAATGAGGTCATGACAAATACTATTTCAAAAGAATAGTGTAGCTTTATGCAGTCAATAACCACTTTCATATGATACCTTTCTGTGTCCATGCTAATATGATATCTGCTTTTAAGAAAGTCAGTGTATTAAAGTTACATTATGTGGGTATTATACAAATTGCCGAGAGAATGGAGTGCGTACATTTGTTGAAATTATCCTGTTTCATATCAAACTCTGCATTAAGTTTGCCATCATGTTGAGTAATCATGTACATGTACGTTTCCATGGTTGAATTCACCTTCGTTCATGCTTCACAAACTTCTTATACTGTCCTGTGTTTCTACCGAAACAAGTTTATGGCAGAAAGACTGTCCTGATTCTTGAATTTCAGAGATATCCTTTTGCTATATTAATATTGTGAAAGGTATCTTGGCTTGGCTTGGTCCTCAGTTTCTTTTGAAGATATTTTGCATGTTTTAGTGTGATTTCAGAAGTATATTTGCTTAGCTTAGTCGCAATTGCTTTACTTAAGTGTGTTTTGCATAGCAATCTGTAAGTTACTGAACCTGTAATCAACATTACCATACCAGGGGAGGTTATCTCAGAAGAGTACTCTTTGGAGTATGGAACAGACAAAATGGAGATGCATGTAGGGGCTGTGCAAGCTGGAGAGCGTGCACTTGTAGTGGATGATCTCATTGCAACTGGGGGGACCTTGAGTGCTGCTATCCGCCTACTTGGTATGCTTCTTTCTTCTGGCCTTTTCTCCCTTCCCTCCTTTTTCTCAACATGAGAAAATTAAATTTGCCTTTAGGGTTTGATGAGGGTCCACACACTTTCTCAGTGAGGCTAATATAATTAAATAAGAATGCGATACTTAAAGATTAAAAGAGAGAGACTGAGTGAACTGTCCTATTGAAAAATAAAGCAAATATTATTTGTCCTAAATGTCTAATCTTGTTAGTTTTATATTGCAGAGCGAGTTGGGGTCGATGTGGTTGAGTGTGCTTGTGTTATCGAATTGCCAGAACTTAAGGTAAGAAATTAGTCAATTACTTACAGATATTTGATTATACTCAGTAGGGTTGTGTCTGAATCTTGATCGCCTATACATCTACGGGATTTGTCTGTCCTGGTGACTGCTAATGTGCAGTGACCTTGATAACAACAATGGCAAGACTGTGTAGTTTACAATGAACACCTCATTATCTAGTGAGTATTAAATCACAATTGTCTTGTTTCTGATATACCTTAATTTTATTTTCCTTATCTTTATTGACTGATAATATAATCTTTGCAAGTCCGAATCGATTTTCATTTTACAAACTTTACTCCTTTTGGTGATTCTTTTGAGGACTTGTAAATAAATCTTTTTATCCTAAAATCTACAAGACCTTTGATGACTTACAGATATTTGATTATATTCAGTAGGGTTGTGTCTGAATCTTGATTGCCTATACATCTACGGAATTTATCAACGTAACTTGCCTTTAGCAGGCTGTACTGGTGACTGCTAATATGCAGTGACCTTGATAGCAACAATGGCAAGACTGCGCAGTTTGCAATGAATACCTCATTATCTAGTGAATATTAAATCACAATTGTCTTGTTTCTGATATACTTTAATTTTATTTTCCTTATCTTTATTGATTGATAATATAATATTTGCAGTCCGAATCGATTTTCATTGTACAAACTTTACTCCATTTGGTGATTCTTTTGAGGATTTGTAAATAAATCTTTTTATCCTAAAATCTACAAGACCTTTGATGATTTTGTTTCCGCTTGACGAGTCAAATGCTTTATTTATTTTAATGCAATATTTGGTGTCGAACATGTACTTGTTCATTGTTTATCAAAAATTCCAATTCTTATTTCCTCCAGTTTCATCTTCAGCTAAAAGTAACTTTTTCATACGAACTAGAGATAGCCAGAGAGCACCCTTACACGCTCAAATGCCCAGAGTACAACTCTTAATAGTCTCAGACACAGCCCATACAAATGCTAGCTCACACTGGTAAAACCTTGAGGCACCATACCACAACACACAGCATGAACTGAAAATGGCATCCATATGGTACGTGATGGATAGTCACACAGACACAAAAAGCCTAATACACAGAACAAGCGTAAAATACATTAAAATACTATGTACTCAGTAGTATATACAAAAGTGAAACAACAGAATTCTGGAAATTTCACATGGATCCAGTTAACAAATAACATAGATCTGCATGCACAATAGAACTTGAAGTGTTTTGAATGAATTTACCATCTAACGGCCGTATAAGGAGGCTATGACCACTGGTACTTCTGATGGTGGAAGGTCAGAGTGGTATGTATGGGTGTGTTGGATTGAGTCAAGGTTGGTGTTATAGGAGGTGGATTTTTTGTGACACTTGGGCAGAAAGTCATGCTGTTTTACATTATTGAGCTGCTAAGATATGAGTATCTAGGATTTAGTTTTGTATCCAGAGTCTAGGGTATTTTAGTCTTTCTAGTGATTTCTTGACATGGGAGATTTCCATAGAGATTCCAAGAGCAACTATGATTGAATTCATTGAAGATATTTACTTAATAGATAACTCTGTTTATAGGGTGGTCTATGCTTTGTTGTATCAAAGATTCATTAGGACTGAAGACATCTCTTATGTTTATTGAGGACAAATATCTCTGAGTTCTTTCTCAAAATTGGAAGGAAAATTCTATTGGTACATAATTATTGTGCATAATGGTGTCCATAATGTAATGTGGTAATCATTAGATTGTTGATATGCAAGTGTGAGATTTGAATTAAATATTAGATCTAGTGCTACGTGTAATTATGGACACCATTATGTAGACAATTATGTACATGTAGTACTTCTCAAATTGGAATACATCCCTTCAGAGTCAAAGTTGTCTTTGCAACTTGACGGCCCGTTTATATTGATGAATACAAAGATTAAGAGAAAAATATGGTTTGACACAGCTGAAACTTCTGTCAAAGAAATAAAGCAAGATGTGGAGCATGAACATGTTGAAGCAGTTGTGGATGAAATGGCTATAAAATTCAATTTTAGCAATCTGGCGTTGCCCATTGTCGTGAACACGTTGGAGTAGTTGAGATTCTATATGCTAAGAGTTCAAACTTTGAGCGATATTTCTCTATAGGGATACTTTATGTATGGCTGGGTTTGGATCAAAGTACCTGAAGTTAGGGTGAAAAAAGGAAAGTGAACTGTTTAGAGTTCTTTTGCGCAGTTGACATTATTAGCTAGCTTGAGTTCAAATCCCAAACGGAAAACGCAAATGATATGGTAGATGCATGTGATGATCCATCATCAGGTCAAGATTTATTTGCTTTAGCTAGAGTCAAACCACAAACTCGTTTCTTTCATATAGTTAGTAGTATAACGAAAGAATGCCTTCACCACCAGCAGTGATTGCCATGAAGCCGAAGCCCTTCTTCTTCTCCTAATTCTTCATCTTCTTTGTTCTCATTCTTGATCTTCTAATTACAATATTATTTGGAACTGTTTTAATTATCTCTAATAAGTGGCCCTAAGGTTGTTCAATGCACCAAGAGTTGATTGATACTGGTTGCATGGGGATAACAAAGGGGGTGAAATATGAGCTGAGAGAACAAAGGAGAAATTCTCTACAATGAAGCTGATCCCTAAATTCTCGAAGTTTCCAGAAAAGATGATAATAATATTTGTTCAGACAGAAGGAACATGCTCCATCAAATTTCCTCCCTCATGAAAACTTGTTTGAGACAAACCTAATACTTAAATTTGCATAAAATAGAAATGCATAATACTCATCTTATAGATTTGGTATTATATTTTTTTGTCTTCTTTGAGTGTTCTCTTTTTAACAGTAGAGGTACTAGTAATTGATTGACTGCTTTTGCTTGATTCCAGGGCCGGAATCGTCTAGGAGACAAGCCACTGTTTGTTCTTGTGAGTGAAGTTGATACTGTTGTGAAACTTGATAATGAGATTTGAAGGAAGAAAATTCGAATTCATGCCAACGATAAATACTGGTTTCTGGCTATCATTGTTTAGTATTTGCTTATTTGCTTCAACTAGTGCTTTGTGCGGGATATTAATGAAAACTACTTGCATTTTGTGTGTAAAGATGGGCTGCTTGTAATTGGGGTGAATATGTCAAAACCCAGCGTTGTATTGCCAGAGGTTTGAATGTTTCGTATTTCAGAAACGAACACGCTCGTGAACACTCACTAGTGCACGCCTGGCTAAGGATAGCGACGGGGCGGGTTACGAACCCGCTCCTATCCTTGTTACCCGTTTAAGGTACTCACCCTAACCCGTCGGCTAATTTTTCATGGGAAAATCACGTAACTACAATACTTTAAATACATAATTTCACGTTTAATAAACTGACAAAAATATTTCAAAAATAAGGTATTACATAATTCATTACGTATTAAATTAAGAAAACCCAAATCCACAATAATCTTTCTCTACACAAATGCCCCAATCTACCATACACACCCCAATTCAAAATGCCCACTCCAATATACTATAATTTGACATTTATGAGAGGCTGGAAGAGGGATTTCAGTGCAGTGGATGCTTGGGCGATGATGATGGAGATAGTGTCGGAGGTGAGGACTCGATGGACGAATAGAAGAATCGATCTTAATCAACGTACCATTGTCATTTTCCAAATTTAGGGTTTCCATTTCTTTTGATTTTCTTGTGTACTGCTTTCCTCTTTCTTTAACTGTTGAGTGAAAGAGACGAAATGTGATGATTGTCCTTACCGAAGGTGGCAAAAGCAGCAAATAATTTTTCTATAAGTGTGATAGCCACGCCTTTTTGGATAAGAAGCAAATGGTGTAGACTTCGAGGACTCAGGTGTTGCAAATTGCCGCTTTTTAGGTGAATTTAAAAAAAAAAAAAAAAAAAGGTTGAACCCAAACCTTGAGAGTTCCCGCTGCCCCGTCCCTAAAACTTTGTGAGGGAGGTAAATCGCTGGATGTGCCCCAATAGGCCAGGGAACAAGAGCTGCCTGTATACTGTGCCTACAAGGAGTCGAATTTCATGTTTCAGGAATCGAACTCCCACACTGCGGCTGTCAGCAAGGCATGAGATAACCTCACTCTTGTCCTTTGCACCACTAGGCTATGCCCCGAGGGACCTTTTTAGGTGAATTTGGGACGTCCATGGGTGGTGATGGGATGAGGAGCAACAAATTGAAACTAAGTTGGGGGTTAATTTGTGAAATTGCTGTGAAAATTGAAATGAAATTGAAGAATGTAACTTAAGTTTAAAGATGTTCTTCTTACTCTCCCTTTTTCCCCTCCCTTTTTCCCGTTTATGCTCTCTATCCTCTGCTTCTTGTTTTTAGCCTCTATTTCTATCAAATGTAGAAAATGGATATAAAGTGCATGCTAGGTAGTGGAGCACTAACTCCAATTCTATAAAGGAAGCCCCTAATTTTCTATTCTATTAAACATTGGGTTGGTAACTTCCAATAATAGATAAGTAAATCCTCAAATTTCTATTTTATAATAAGAGACTTGCAAGTGAAGTTCTAAACTTAAAATGAAGGAAATGGTGTGATTTATGACTAATAGAAATAGTATGTATTGTGCTAAGAAAAATTTGCGACCATGATCAGTTAATTGTGTAGTTTGTAATTAATAAATGTGACCCTGTATGTCTTAATATTTATAATTAATAATTCTGTGACTATGTATTCTTACGTGTCCCTATATATGATCATGTCCGTTATAATATTTGATGTATGTGACTAGGTATGTGTAAGTTGTTATTGTTTATGACTTGCTCTACGTAAGTTATTATTATTTATGACTAGGTTTGCCTTTAGTGTAATTGTCTGTGACTAGTTTTATTTTTATTTTGATTGTATGTGACCAGGTATTTCTGAAATGTGACCATCAATGACCAAGTCTTTCTTAAATGACTATTTGTGACCTGACCTCTCTTAATTTTGATTATATATGACCAGCGTCGCATTGACTATGACTATATGTAACAATGTCTATGTTAACAGTGTTTTGTATCTAATATGCGAATGAAGACTTTTGTGTGACCAATTTTTGTTAATTATGTCTATATGTGACCTTTTATATGCTTAATGTGACTCTTTGTGACCAAATTTGTGTTATTTATGATTGTCTATGATTAAGTCTATTTTCACTGTGAATTTTTATGACTTGTAATGCTTTCATTGTGACTTGTTATTATCTAACCGCGACATATTGTTGTCTGACTGCAACTTACATTAGTCAAAATTTGTAATTGTATATAACCAAGTCACTAACTTGTGTTATATGTGACTAACTGTGATCAAATTTGTCTTCAGTTTGATTATCTGTAAGCATCTAATTTGTGACTAAGTCATTAACGTGTGTTATTTATGTGACCAAATTTATTTGTAGTGTGAATAAATGTGATTAAATTTGTTTTTAGTATGACTATTTGTGACCATGTCATCTTAACTGTGATGATATACCACTTGATATGTGACAAGTCTCAATTGGTCACAATTAACATAAAATTGGTCACAACCAATCACGGTAAACATATAATTGGTCACAGAAAATCACCATAAATAAATCTGCACATACCATAGACCAACACCACAATCACCACCATTACCTACGATGTACCACTACCACCACCACCACCACCACCACCTTCAACTTAAATCCACGATAATGAATTCCCAATTGATGTTTAACTAAAACTTTTCTCTACTACTCTAGGTGATCATTAATAATTCCTCCCCATCAATCTTCACAATCATTTCCCTAAGAAGGTTGAGAACCAAAGTCCAATAATATGAAATTCTAGTCAATCACCCACGGAAAAGAGGCATCAATCCTCAATGCCGTCGGTGCTACTTGCAACAGAATGTGATATTTCCAAGATCCCGGGTTGGAGATCGCCTTGAGATCTACTTTGTAAAAAAAACCTTAACTATATAAAATTGCAATTAAGCAGTCAAAAACCAAGAAAAAATATTCCACAATTGCTCATGAAGAAAAACTTGTACAACAAAAGTGATGTTACTTTCAGTTCTCATTCTACAAATATTAAGACAATCATATCCTACCTACAATACATAATAGCAACTGGAATGAACTAAAAGTAATTAGTGTTAAAAAAAAAAAAAAAAAGCATCCCTTGTGTTTTAGTATGATATCATTGCATATGAGTACTGCATGTAGATGACATCAAAGCCATCTCTTGATCTTTATTCATTTCTCTTCAAATTCACAATCAATGATATCAAGTTTACTCTTTTCCCAAGAGGAATTGGTACCTTGGCCACCTTTAGGAAAGAAGTCTTCCTGTGGCTGCTATAAAGTGTTGCAACAACTTGCACAACAAATTGTTTGGCTCTTGTATCAAACAAACTGCCTCCTACATGCAATGCATTCTTCTTGCTCATACTAATTACTATTGGATCATTTCCATGATTAGGGATCTAAGTAAACATCAGCTTGCAAATAACAAAACAAAAAGAGGAGGGATGACAAATCTAAATGCAAGAAAAGAACTGACTTAAATTTATGGGAACTTTCGCTTTTCCTTTGGTAGTACTGTAAAAATAATATTCACCAGGTCTACAGGAATAAGGCATCCTGAGCACATATTTTATATTTTGGCGTTGTAATTAACTCCATAAATAGGTGTTCATCATCTGGAATGAAGTTCTAAGCATGAAAATTCTAATTTGATAGTATATAGATATGGTTGAACTTTTATGAGGACTTGTTGCTTGATTAAGCTACACTGGACAAGTCATAATCAGAAAATTGACTAGTAGGCAGCCAAGGGAACAAACTGTAACATTAATAACATATTCCTATTTGTCTTATAAAATTATTTTGATTATAACAATCCATGTTCTTTTCTCTTTTTTTGCCAACAGAGCATTTTTCATAATCAAAGGTCACACTTAAAAATCTTACATCGAGAAAAATTCACAAAAAGCCAGAAAAATGAACTTCATTAAGAAAACATTACAGGATGAATGACAAAATCCTAAACGCTGATGAGCAATGAAAAATTGAAAAGAAATACTCAAATCATAGTTAGTCAGTCAGCAATGTTCTATCTTCTTAGCCTAATGATAAAAAAAAACCATAGTTGGTTTGCAAGTAGCGGCGATGATGCAACACTTGGCCGCTACGTGTGACCAAGCAGCAACGTCATAGACAAGATATGATAGGGCCACTCGCAGCATAACCTCCTCCAAAAGCATCTCCACTCACAGCCAAAGCCAAAGCGACAGCCATGGCCTAGATTTGATCCTTTTACCGATCGGGAAGAAGAGTGGTAGAGGTGGGTAGGTAGCGAGGGGTATAGATAGAGAGAATGATGAAGATAGGGTTTGGAATGAACTGGGGGTGTGTGAGGGAGGAAATGGTGGCTAATGGCTGCCCTACCCACCCACTTTTCCACAAAGGCCTGGCTAATGGCTGCCCCCCCCCCCCCCTTTTCCACAAAGGCCTTTGACCAAAATTTTCGTATTAAAAAAAAAAAAAAGAAATGTAAACAAAATTGTTATAGTCGAAAATACCCCCCTCATTTGCAAACCAAGAGAAGAGAAATAGAGAGAAAAAAGAGGAGGAAAAAAAAGTAAAAAAGGAGTTCGGATCCGGCGCCTACCAACGACCCGGACCTGTTCCACTTCGACCTCTCTGAACACACCACGATCAGCCGGAGAAACGCCATTTTTTGGAAGGTTAAAGATGTTCTCTATAAATAATTTTTATGAAAATGTGTAAATTTGAATGTTTAGGATTTTAATGAGTTAAATTCAATTTTTTTATGGTTAAAATGGAAGAAAAGATCGAATTTGAGGTTGAAATGGGAGGTTGAAATGTTGGAAAAATTGGAAAAAAGAGACGGAGCTCGCCAAAAATGGAGTTTTTCGACGAGCTGGACGCCTCTTTGGTCCGTATGGTCCGTTACGGACCAAGAAATGGTTTTGGCTGATTCGGACCCGACCATTCATGTATTTTTATTTTTTTTCATTAATTTATTTTAATTTTTATGTTAAAAAATGTAATTAAATATGAAATAAATAATATGTTAAGAATTAGAACGAAAATATTTAAAAATAGATTAAATAGAATTTTAATTTTTTGTTTTGACTTAAATATATGTTTAGTAATTAAATATACGAAAT